GGCCACAAAACGTGTGAGGGGTGTGCCGAATTGGGCGTGCGTGACGCATGCGGGCGGCAGCCCTGGGGCCTTCGGCGGAGCTCCCTATGGGGCCACGAAACGTCTGAGGGGTATGCCGACTTGGGTGTGCGTGACGCATGCGGGCGGCAGCGCTGGAGCCTTCGGCGGAGCTCCCTATGAAGCCACGAAGCGTGTGAGGGGTGTGCCGAATTGGGTGTGGGTGACGCATGCGGGCGGCAGCGCTGGTGGCCCCATAGGAGCTCCGCCGAAGGCACCAGTGCTGCCGCCCGCATGCGTCACCCACACTCAATTCGGCACATCCCTCACACGTTTCGTGGCCCCATAGGGAGCTCCGCCGAAGGCCCTAGTGCTGCCGCCCGCATGCGCCACCCACACCCACTTCGGCACACCCCTGACACGTTTCGTGGCCCCATATGGAGCTCCGCCGATCAGGCCCCAGTGCCGCCCGCATGCGCCCCCACCCAATTCGGCACACCCCTCACACGTTTCGTGGCCCCATAGGAGCTCCGCCGAAGGCCCCATTCGGCACGCCCTTTCTCACGTTTCGTAGCCCCATAGGAGCTCCGCCGAAAGCCCCAGTGCTGCCGCCCGCATGCGTCACCCACACCCAATTCGGCACACCCCTGACACGTTTTGTGGCCCCATAGGAGCCCCGCCGAAGGCTCCAGTGCTGCCGCCCGCATGCGTCACCCACACCCTCCGGCACACCCCTCACACGTTTCGTGGCCCCATAGGGAGCTCCGCCGAAGGCCCCAGTGCTGCCGCCCGCACGCGTCACGCACACCCAATTCGGCACACCCCTCACACGTTTCGTGGCCCCATAGGGAGCTCCGCCGAAGGCCCCAGTGCTGCCGCCCGCATGCGTCACGCACACCCAATTCTGCACACCCCTCACACGTTCCGTGGCCCCATAGGAGCTCCGCCGAGTGTGGGGAGTGTGCCGAATTGGATGTGGGTGACGCATGCGGACGGCAGCACTGGGGCCTTCGGCGGAGCTCCATATGGGGCCACGAAACGTGTCAGGGGTGTGCCGAATTGGGTGTGGGTGACGCATGCAGGCGGCAGCGCTGGGGCCTTCGGCGGAGCTCCTATGGGGCCACGAAACGTGTGAGCGGTGTGCCGAATTGGGCGTGGGTGACGCATGCGGGCTGGCGGCAACACTAGGGCCTTCGGCGGAGCTCCTACGGGGCCACGAAACGTGTGAGGGGTGTGCCGAATTGGGTGTGGGTGACGCATGCGGGCGGCAGCACTGAGGCCTTCGGCGGAGCTCCTATAGGGGCCACGAAACGTGTGGCGGATGTGCCGAATTGGGTGTGGGTGACGCATGCGGGCGGCAGCGCTGGGGCCTTCGGCGGAGCTCCTATGGGGCTACGAAACGCTGTACTGGGTGGGTGAAACGCAAGGAAGAAGGGGAGGAGGGAGGAGGAGGAGGAGGAAAGGAGAGGAGAGGAGAGGAGAGGAGAGGAGGAGGAGGAGGCGGGAACGCGGGGCGCCGTCTCTTCAAAACAAGGACCCAACACCACAGGATGGTTGGGAATACCAAATGACACATCAAACATGAGACATGAAACATTGATCACAATGCGCCGAAAACTACGTAAAGGAAGCAATGGTACTGTGGGGACATGCCGCGATTATCATCAGCCTTGTTCTGACACTGATACAAATACGTCTTGGCGTGCTGAATCAGAGAGGTTCCATGGGGCCTCCCTCTCCAGGAGGAGTGACGCCGATGATTCTCATCTCAGACCAGGATTCGCAATGCCCGTCCATGTAGCCCCGCGACGTCTCGTCGCCCAGCCAGCGATAGATCGGTGAGCGAGTGGCACCCACGTAGAAGTCCGGCCCAGCGCTGCCAGCTCCGTCGACCACATCCATGGCGATGGAAAGCCGACTTTCGGCATCGGCGAAAATCGCGTCGCTCATGATACAGCCCCACGGTATCGGCACACTATGTCTCATAGCGTTGTCATACTCGGCGTCCCGGACGATTTCCATGGCAGCAAGCCGCCTCGAAAGACGCGCGAGCTCTGCTGCCCCGCGCGCCTCCTCGCTGGCCTCTGCCTGAACGCGTTCGTGCTCCATCTCGCGCTCGATCAGGGCGCGCTGCGAGTCCAGCGATTCAATCGGGGGCACTGGGGCCAAGGAGTACCGGGCCATGAGCGCCACCGAGGAATCCTCGATTGGATCTGGAGCCCCTGGAGGGGAATCAACAACATCGATCGGCGGCGCCGCTGCTGCAGCAGAGAGGAAGGCCTCCTCGATGCTGCAGCTGTTGATCGCGGCCTCCGCGGCCTCGCCCTCCTCGCTGGCCGCCTCGATCGAACCCCTGACCGCCCGCCCGCTGGCGAGGTGGGCCATGGAAAGGGGCCCGCCGCCGAGGCCGCCGTCGGACTTGGGGTGGGCCTCCACGAAGCCTCGCCCGTCACCGCCGCCGAGTCCTCGTCGTCGCTATCAACCGTGTTGCCGAGCATCCCCGCTGCTAGCCACCGACTGCGGCGCCGATGATCGGGCAGCCACCGCCGTTCTCATCCTCGCCGCAGCAACGGCATCGCCCGCAAGGACGGCAGGGCTCCGAACGTGCACGATGATCTTCGGCGGCGGCGGCGGCGGTGCAGGACGCGGCGGCGGCGGCGATGGGCGCCGCGGCGACGGCGAACGGCCCCGCGGCTGCCTGTGAGCCCCGGGCGGCGTCCAGTCGAACAGAGCGGCCAACAACTTCTCGCGCCGTCGTCTGTCGCGCGTGGGCCGCGCGGGCGGCGTGCGGCTCCGGGCAGCCATGGGCCATGGGCCATGGGGCCCGTGGCCCTGGGTGGCCCGCAGCTCACGCCATCAATGCGTGAGGTTTGAGCCAAAACGAATGCAACAGAGAAGGCGGTGGAGCTCCACTCTGAGCGCCCGCGGGCGTGATCACATGCGTCTCCCCGCCAATTTCGGCGCGCCCCTCTCGCGCGTCATTGCCTCGCCCTGTCGCCCGCGGCCCTTAGCCCTTGGGGCGTTCGCCCGTCATGCCCTTTAACTATAACCTATAAGCTCTTTGGGCCCGTGGGCCCTTATGTCTTATGTCTTATGTCGGAATGCCCTCATATGTCCCGCAGGACTAGTCGATTGCGCACCTTGCGTGTTGTTTGCACGCGTTGCATCAGGCGTTGATGGTGGTGTTTTGCGCATATTGCGTTATTGATTGACGTTGTGTTGTCGCTGCTGCAGTCGCTGCCTCCCTTGCTGGGCACATAATGTAAAAATGTACTCGTTGTTTGTAGTTGCTGTATTATGCATTCTGCATTCGCTGATATGTATTATGTATAGTAGTTGTTTGTATATGCCATATGCCGCATTAGTTGCGTTCGTTGTTCGCGCGCGCTGCGCTGATTGCATTCATTGTTTTGCGTGCGTTACACTAGTGGCATTAATGGTTTGTGAATGGGCCATGCGCCATGCGCTATTGATTTGCAGTCGCTGCATTAGTTGCAATAGTTGTTTGTGTACGCGGAAGTAATTGAATTAGTTGTTTGTTAATTGCTGCAGTCGTTGCATGAATTGTCTTGTATATGTGTCAGTCGTTACATTAGTTGTATTATTTGTTCGGTAAATGTTGCAATGGTTGCATCAGTTGCTTGTTAGTTGCTGCACTCGTTGCATTAAGTGTCTTGTCTATGTTTCAGCCGTTACATTAGTTGTATTAGTTGTTTGGTAAATGTTGCAATAGTTGCATTAGTTGTTTTGCAACGTGCTGAATTAGTTGCATTCGTTGTGTTGCATTTGCTCCATTCGTTGTCCTCCATGTGCTGCATACTTTGCATTATTTGCTTTCGTGGTCGGCAGAACCAGCATAAGGTGCGTCTGGGCCATTCAGGGTTTATCAACGTCGTTGATGAATCTGGCTTTTACACTGGTCCTTCTCCTCCTCCTCATCATCATCATCTCCTCCCTCCCTCCCTCCCTCCCTCCTTCCCTCCCTCCCCCCCTCCCTCGCTCCCTCCCTCCCTCCTCGCTCCTGCCTCCTCCCACTTCCCCCCACATCTGGCTCCGCCGAACGCCTGGGGAACCTGGGGAGGGGGGGGCCACGATTGGCGCTGAGGGCCGCGGCGGCGGCGGGCAGAAGAAGAAGAGAGAAGACGAAGAAGCCGCAGCGACAGCCAGCGCAGACTGCTTGGATGCGACGGCCCCCGCCGTTGCGGCGGAAAGAGAGCCCCGTCGCGCCTCCCCCCGTCACGGCACGCCTCCTGGCTGGGACGCCATGAGGGAAAAAGGGTCCAGGCCCTCGCAGAGAATAACAAAACACAGCAGAAACATATCGATGATTGAAATAGGATGGCGCTTGAAAAAGACTGGACTCTGGGAATCCAGAAATGCGTGCTTCCGACGACCGACGTGTGATGCTTGGACCGTTTTCGGGCTCACGGGCCCCTCCACGGCCCCCGAACCGCCACTAGAAGTAGGTCGAGCATGTCCCCCCGTACAGGCGGATCTTGGGCAAAGCATTTACGATACTCAGAGAACGCACCCCAACATAGTCACACAATATTCCCAAAATCGTCCCGTCCCCGACTATTTGTTGGGCGCCCGAATTATCAGGGGTAACTCGGGCCCCGGGTAACTCGGGTTTGGATTCCCGAATAACGAACCCGAATTAGCCCTGACCCGAATTACCCCTGATGATTCGGGGATCTGGACGCCCGAATTATCCGGGGTAACTCGGGCCCGGGGCAACTCGGGTTCGGATTCCCGAAAAACGAACCCGAGTTAGCCCTGACCCGAGTTACCCCTGATGATTCGGGGCTCTGAACTTGTGCCTGATTATTTTTTAGCATTCCCCCTGTATAGGGACACGCCCGACTCAACACTAGAGCGACTCGGGAGGAAAAATTTGTCCGGTGAAAAACCGCGGGGCGCAGGGCCCGTTCCCGTCACGGCCTGTCTCTCCATCACGCCTGCAGGGCCCGCCGCGGGGGGCCTGCTGGAGGTGGGCACCAGGGTCACCGAGGCGGGCTTGACCTCCCGGTCGAGGAGCAGCTCCTGGGAGGCGCAGGGGGGGGAAAGGGAGGGGAGGGAGCGGGCGAAGGAAAGGGGGGAAATGACGAGGAGGAGGGGACGCAAGAAGGAGCAGGGGTGATGGCGGTGGTGGTGTCGATGACGACGACGACGATGATGATGACGATGATGCTGATGATGATGAATTTGATGATGGGTGTTATGATGAATTTGATGCTGAACTTGATGATGATGATGATGATGATGATGATGATGATCATGGTGATGCTGATGATGGTCATGATAATGATGATAATGGTGATGATGATGATGGTGATGATGAATTTGATGATTAATCTGAGGATGAATGTGAGGATTCATTTGAGGATGAATGTGATGATGATGATGATGATGATGATGACGATGATGATGATGATGAGGAGGAGGAGAAGGATGATGATGATGATGATAGTGGTGGTGGTGGTGGTGGCGATGAGGAGGCTCCGAGTTTCACGTGTCAGCAACTGGCCCGCCGAACTGCATTCCATGCGTTAACGGCTGGCCCTGACAATGGCATTTTGAGACCTCCTCTGGAATACCAGTAAGCTGCAGCATTCAACAGAAATGCACCGACGAAAAAAAAACAGTCAGCTGGGTATCAGACACAACGATGGAGACGACTGCGGACAAGACTATGGAGAGGACGTCGTGGCGTTTATTGTCAGGAGTAGTACACATATTATATCATCTGTGTACTTGAAGACGATTGCGATGAGCAGACCTCCCAAGCCTTGAAGGGCGATACTTGGGAAGGTCACCATATCATAACTGTGGAAAGGCCCAGCCCCCGCACGGTTGCCGACTGCCCCGTTGTTACTAGCCCACCACATCCACCATGTTATAACTGTAGAAGAAGCCCAGCCCCAGCACGGTTGCCGACTGCCCAGCTGTTGATAGCCCACCACATCCTATCATGACTAAATACAAAAAGATATGCGCAATCCTCTGCCACAGGTCAAGTGTGGATCCCCCCTTGAAGAACTTCTCGGTGTACTCTCCTGTCAGCCTCGAAGAACACGTCGCCATGAGGGTGAGGCTCAAACCGAAGTTTCAATGCGAAGACCCTGTTGTTGCCCCGGGACTGAAACATCTCCGAGAGCTGAACGACGACCACTCCGATCGTCAGGACGACCAGCCCGGCCCACTGCTCCCCTTTGAACGACTAGCCTAGAATGGTGGCCAGTGACCTGGAAGATCGCCGCCTGGAGGTAAGGTGCTGCAGGTTTCTCTGTTCCAGGTACAGGAAGGCGTCCAGACTTTACAAGCTCGCCCCTGTCCTCGAACATCGTCGACCGGGTGCCGTGTTGGCCCAAGACCAGCGCCATGGACGTGAGCGCCTTCACCAGCTCCTGCATGATGACCGTTGTCTGCGGCAAGAAATGGTTTTGCGTGATCAGCACGGCGTCGCTGTTCTGCACAATGGGCAGCACGAACGCCAAGCACGCAAGCCACGCGGGCGTCTCGGGTTTCTCGGGGCCCTGCTTGGCCGCATTGGTTTCCGCGGTCCCATTGCCCGCACCTCCCGTCAGCGTCTGCGTCTCGCCCTGCTCCTGGTCTTTACCCTGCTTGGCCGCCCCGGCTTCCGCTGCCCCATTTTTCCGCTGGATGGTGGAGGTGTGGATGGACGTTGGAGAATGATGGTGGTGATGGTGATGGTGATGATGATGGTGATGATGGCGATGATGGTGATGATGACAGAGTGTGGATAATGCTGGCGGCGGTGATGGTGATGGACGTGGTGATGCTGATGATGCTGGTGCCCTATCCTGGCGAACTGATGGCAGTGGGCGGGGTGACAATCGATAAGGTCAAACACCTGCAGCAAGGGCGCAAACGAATCGGCCTTCATGTCGGATAAGACAGTCCACCTGGCGGCGTACGCCAGCGAACCACCTCCTACGGGTGGGAGCCACGGGAGGGAAGTAAAGCAGAACCGCAGGGAGGAAAGGAGATGCGGCCAATCGCATGGTCAGGCCTCGACGAAGCTGGCCACCGAACGAACTCAAGGTACAGATTGGGGTAGGCGGCGGCGGCAACATCTCAATGAGCCGTACTTGCCCCGACCTCGAGCATGCGAGTGTCAGAAGGAGCGAACGACAGCGACTGGAGAGACTCGGCATGGTCGCAGCCTGCTGAGCTACAGCATGCCTGGTTGCACTCCACCGAACGCACCAGGAACCCTCGGCACGGCTGAGCTCCACAGACTAACCGACTACCTCTAATATTAAACCCCTGGGGATTCTAAAGTTCGGGGTCTGGGGGGAATAATACACGATTTTGCTGGCGGAGGATGATGCTGATGATGATGATGGTAATGATGAAAGGGTGAGAATCCCATAGCCGTGCCAAACGCTCGTGACTTGCGACAGCTAAAGTGGTGAGGCCTCCATTGCCATGCTCAGCGTTTTTGATGATGTTGCCAGTCAGAATAAGGAGATCACAATTTCGATTCGCAACTTCCCCCCGCGATAATCAAGTTCGGCCTCGCCGCCCCTCTCCACAATCGAATATGTCTGACCCGGGGATGATAACCACTCAGGAGTGTAAGGGGGAGTATACTTTACTATCCGGGGTTAAACGTTAACCTCGACTAATCTCTGACAGCCAAGAGAACGTGCGGAGAAAACGGCGGGCGGACTCGCACTGAACTGACATGCAGCTCCACCAACAAAGGCACAGCAGCAAGTGAGCAAAAGAGCGAAGGACCGAGATAGGCGGCGGCACTTGAATAAAGGTGCCATCTCGACGGATTCCAGAGACGCTGCGCGGCGACGCGGTTGGGGGGGGTGGGGGGGGGCGCTGCGTGGGCACGGGGGGGCGACCCTCAAACACCTACTCCCGACTGGCCCACGCAGTAACAATTCGAATGCAAAACTGATCAGAAGCGGCCATAATAACGAAAAGCCCAGGGCGAACACGGGTATTGACCGCCCCTGGGCTATTCGCCCCTATCCCTATCGTCGCCGCCGAAATGAGCGTGAACATGGCTCTCGACAAGGGCACATGGAGCAACGTCGCGTTCCATGCTGGGAGCAGCCCCGTCGACGCAACAGAGGACGGGGGGGGGCGGCAACGCCAAGGGGGAACGCGCACGGGGTCCAAGTCGAAAGGAGAGCAAGAATACGCGGACAGCGCATGCAGTGACACTGATCGTCCCTGCCATGCCCACCCGCCGACCGTCGCGGAAGGAAGCCGGGACAACCCAACAGACAGCCACCCTAGCAGAATTGTCACTGTAGAGGTGTTCAAAGACCTTCGCGGGCCAGAACGGGATCCCCATCTTTGTGGGGCCAACAGCACCCACTCAATGAACAGACTAGGACATGCTTTAAGACAGTGGCGGGCTGGGCCGAACCATCATGCCCCTCCAGACGGGCAAGCACCCCGTCAGCTCCGAACGAAAAAATATTGCCCACGATAGACCGTCCAGGAACGCACCCAAACTGCAGGCAGTGACTCGACTGAACACTAACTCTGGTCAGAGGGCGCGCGACGGCGGCAGCGGCCCACTTGCAGTCAGCGAACCCAATAGACAACGGGCGAGTGGAGGAAGGCTTGCGGGCTAGCATAGCAGCGCCACCAGACGAATGGCACCCCCTTAGCCCAAAACACTATAAGCATTTCGGGAAAGATGTCGAGAAGGGGGGGCGGGAGGGTGGGAGATGCAATGACAGTGGAACTCATACAGAATGCCCTTGCGCACCATCATGCTTCCAACAACCATCGGCACGACCATCGATCCACGGCATGGCGTCTCCAGCTCGTCCTACAAGTTCAGTGAACGCCGCTACCGTAGCCTACCCAGGCACGGTGGCGAGATGGGCCGAAGGCCATTCAATGTATAGCACCACGTAGATCGCACCACATGTATTTCACAACATGCATTGCACCACATAGATTGGACATGTAAGCTACTAGAGACATACTGTTTGGGCTTCGTGTTGGCGGCCATACTGCGGATGAGCCCCCTATTTCTTGGGCAGCATCCGTCAGGGCCCCATTTTTGAACCGCGAACGGGAGGCGAATTTCCTCACCTCCATGTAAAAAACTTTCGAGAATTGGATGGCGATGTCGGCGGTGAGTTCACCATGGAGGAGATGCAGAAGCGGATGCTGGGTCCCGAAGTCGGTGCCTATTTCAGCCAACTCGGCATGGACCTTGGCCGGGTGGGCAAACTGTTTTTCCCGTTGGACCGCGACACTTCGGGCTCGCTCGAACCAGAGGGGTTCATGTTCGGCTGCCTGAAGCTGAAGTTCGTCGGAGACGAAAAAAAGCCTGGATATCGCTGCGATGCACCAGCAGGTCCTGTGGGCCCACGACACCCTGAAGGCCGTGGTCACCCACCTTGGGGCCGACTCCGAGCCAAACCAAACGTTTCCACCTAATTCGTAGGTTCTTCGAGGGCAATGCCGGGAACTCCGCGTTCTCTGCGGCGCCACCCTGGCATATCGCAAGCTCGTTGCCAGCATGCGCCGCACAACCACGCGGGCGGCCGCTGTTTGTCCGGGAATGTTGCCGAGCCTAATGAATATGGTGTGATTGCGTCGCCGCTCGCGATTGCGTGGCGCAGAAAGGCGCGCGCGTGCAAGTTCGCGCAAGGAAGATATCGCTGGCGCGCCGCAGCGCCTCTTCCTCGCAAGCGAACAATGGGCCATCCGACTGAGCAGTGTGCGCGCGCGGACCAGCCTGGCCAACAAGCGCCCAGGGGCGCGCATCAAAGAAGGACGCGCGGCGAGGGCACGCACGCGCGGCATAAACACCAAAGCACCGAACTGCAATACAAAATCAACAGAAGGAGGCAACACTCAATTCAAAGTACTCTCGATGCGTCCGAGCCTCTCGACAGCGCAACGCGCTGCGAAACTCCGCGCGGGCCTCGCGCGCCGCCACCGCGGCACTCGCCAAGAGCTGCTCGATCGAAGGCGAAAGCTCGAAAGCCGCGATCCCATCAGAAAGTGGGCCCCCGAACTCCACGGGCACGAGTCACCCGCGCAAGGACAGAGGGGGGCCAGCGGAGGGACGAATATTAGGGACATTAATCACCACCGCGCAAACGTGATGGGAAGGGTTCTTCAGATGGGTGGGCCACCCTGCCTGTCATCGAACCAGTGAGAACCAGATCAAGCAAGACTGCCGGGGAGATGTCCATATGCGCACGGCCCAGAAGAGCGTCGAGGGCCACCTCGGGGCCCTGACAGGCGCGATGGGTATCCAGCGGCTGGCGCAATTCAATCCAGCCACCGAAACATGGGGACCATTCGCGGAGGATTACAGTGCCCCCGCGGCTAGCGACCCCAGCCTTGAGGATAAATCCACCTTCGTCACCGAGCACAAACTTTGAAGTCACCGAGCAAGATGCGAGATGCAACGGAGGATGGCAAAGACCGGGGCGAGCAGCAGAGAAACAGTGACGGTCGCATCCGATCCCAGCATCAGAATTTGGCATTTGAATGGCAACGATTCTCTGACGTCCAGAAATACCCCATCCTTGGAAATAGGAGGCCTTCTCCGGGGCCAGCGATTTAGATGCGAAGCCAGAAACGTTCAACGCGGGCGACTCCTGGACACAAGCCAGGGCCGCGCGCCCAAAAACGGCACCAGGGTGAACGTCCAGGAAAACTGGTGAAACATGGATTCCTTGTCAAGGGCCACCAATCCCCTGCGCCCATGGGAGTATGACCGCTGACACCCAGGTGCTTCCTGGTAGCAAGAGAAGATGCGCCGTCGGGCGCAGGCCCGATTTTTCATACTGCTGACGCTGCCAAACAGGCCGCGAGCGTTCCATTTCACAACGAAGAAATGTTTCTTCGGCAGGGGGGGGGGGAACTGTACTACCCCAGCCTCCCAAACAACGAATTGCGCCTCACATAAGCGGCCCTCGCGCAGGAGAGAGGCAACGCCCTGCGTCAGCCACCCAGCCCTCAGCGGGGCACCCTCGGAAGCAGATTCGCATTCGCCACAGGCTGAACGAGCCTACGACCTGATCCACAGCCGACTGCTGCATTCCAGCGGCGCCGAAGACGACATGTCACATGCGAGCGCGATAAACCTGGACATTCCGAGCGACAACGTGGGCTTCAAAACGCGATGGAACTTAACCGCATCGCCGTTGCGGGCCGGCACATCAACAGACCACCCTTTGAGCACAGAGAGCGTCTTCGAGGAGACCTCCGGGCTCGTCGCGAATCTCACCTCTGCCAATCAACTGCTCGTTAGTCCCAGCGCCGCGGAGCGGCTTCAGGCGAAAGGTCATTGGGCCCCTGGGGGTCATGAGCTCGAAAACATCAGGGTCGCGCTTACGGAGCGCATCAGCCGTCTTAGCGGCAACATCAGCAGAAGGACGCGCAATCATGACGGTCTTTTCGCAAAATCCTGAGGCGCCGCGGGCCACGGGCATGGCCATTTTCGCCTGATCTTCCGCAGACGCCGTGAGAATGAGCGCCCGCCTCCTGGAGAACCTCGCCAGTGAACTCGCCACTGAACCTGTCGACGATAGCTTCAACAAGAGATCGGCATTTCCACCAAGCTCAGACGGAGCAGGACCACGGATCTTCCTATTCGGACCACTGGAGCCAACACCATCCGAACTAGTCCCCGAGAAACCGGGGTTCTAAGTCCGCATCTTCGCATGCTCAGCTTCCGCATTCATGATGTCGGCACGCTGTCCTTCAAGACCCTGCTGCAATGCAGCAGCACGATCGGCAAGTTCGCATACCTAGGCCGACATCATCGAGAGAGACTCATTCATCTTGGCCATCTGGGCTGCCAGTTCCTTCGTCGCTGCATCGCACAGAGCCATCCCTGCACTAGCCTCGGCATCGACTGGGCTGGAGGAGAAACGCAGGCTGGCGGATCAGGATGGCAGCTGCGCCGACACCTCGAGCTCCCCTCGGCTGCGACCAAACTCGCAACGCCAAGGATCCACGTTTCGATCTTGAGCCGAAATGGCTACGGACGGTACCGATGATGATGCTGATGATGATTCGAACAATGCTGGTGGTGGTGACGATCATGGCCCGAACGATGATGATAATATTGATGACGGCGATGATGATGATTATTGTGATGCTGACGACGATGGTGGTGATGATGATGATGTTGACGACGGTCATGACGATGATAATAACGGTAACGATGATGCTGTCAGTGATGATGGACCGATGAAACTGATGATATGATGCTGGTGTTGGTTATGATGATGGCGATGGCGATGTTATGACGGTAGTGTTACGACGAAGACAGGCAATACATTATTACAGATAAGAATTATTATACTTCGCTGGCCCATCGGGCCACAGGCGTGCTAGAATCTCCAGCAAAATGCCTACAAGATCTGTTAATCGCGGGCGCGGAAGGCCATGGTGGGTCCCTGGACGAAAAGTGCCCCGCGCAAATCCGACCACGGATGTCGGAGCTCCCAGGGGCGGTCTTCAGGCCCTCAAGATCGCCTCAGGACCGCCCCGAGGAACCCCAAAAGAAGCTCCAAGAGGGTCCAAGAGCTGGGAGGACTATATGTGTTGCCCCAAGATGGCCCGAAGATAGTCCCAAGAAGGCCTCAATATGGCCCCAAGATGGTCTCATGCAGCCTCAGAAGAGCCACCAGAGACTCAATGTCGCTATATCTCGCTGATTCCTCTTAGGCTATTGAAAGATTTTGACGTCGCCGTCTGTCGAGCTTCTGATTGCCGCAAACGGCCCAAGAGACCGCAGGATCGGCCCAAGACAGCCCTCAAGGCTCACATAACGGCCCGAGAAGGCCCCAGCACGGCACAACAAGACCCCCAAGAGGGCCCCAAAGGCTCTCAAAAAGCCTCAAGAGGGGGGCAAGATGGCCTCTGAGACTGCAAGAACGCTCCAAAAGGCCCCCAAGATGCTCCTAAGATGCCACTAAGATGCCCCCAAGATGCCCCACGAGGGGCACTCGCGTGCCATCTCGATGACGCATCATATTTTCATGCTCGGCCCGCCCGACCCGAGCCGAGCCGCCCGTTAGAGTCCGCCCGCCCGACCCGACCCGCGCCGCCCGTCAGGGTCCCTTGAGGCCGCCCTGGGCCCTTCCAGGTGCCTCTCCACCTGCGCTGGGGCCCCAAAAGCGCCCACAATTGAGCAGGGGCCGACCGTCCTGGCATTCGTATTGTCCTACCACGAAGTGTTCTTGGAACCCCACGATGTTCGAATCACAGAAACAGTGCTCTTAGAACATCAATACGGTGCGCTAAAACAAGACAGTCTCAGCCAGAGATGCTCTGAGAACATTTCGCGCAGATCACAAGAGGTTCTCAGAACACTCTCGGTGGGCGTATACGGGGGGCCAGGACGCTTCGCCACTGCTTGATTCCTGGGATCCAACAAAAGCGCCTGCAAATCCTGGATCTCGACGGTTCCACGGGCTCGGGCCTCTCCTCGCGCCTCTCTCAGAACTCCCCCCTGCCTCGGCGCTGGACAACCCTCCCTTTAGCAGACCTCCCCTTAGAGAAAACGGCCTGGGACCGAAACCGACGGACCTGGACCCGCAAAAATAACGGCCGCGACGCCCTCTCGCGAACCGAAAACGGCCAATTCCTTAATCGACGTGTCAGGGTAGGAGGTCTGTCCACCCCCGAATGCCTTTCCCGGGGGCGTCCTGCTGCCGTCCCGGACGTCTGCGGATCCACCGAGACCGGCCGTGCCGGCTGCATCTCAGGCCCCCGCCGCCCCGAGCTGTCCAGCAGCGTGTTGGGGCAGTCTTCGGTCGGTCGTCCGGGGCGCCCCCAGAGAGCCCCCCCGTGGGGGTGTGTTTGAAGGCGCCCTAGGACACACAAAGAAATAGACACACATAACAGAACTCCCCTATAGTTTCCTGAATTTTCTTCTGGCTTTTTGTCTTCCCCCCCACTTCCCATATTTTCCCATATTGTCCTGGGAATCGACGATGACTTGTGTCGGTGTGTTGTTTGCCCTCCTGAATGGTGTTGTTCGCACTCGCCCCATGATGGGCCGCGTTGGGGCCCCTCTCGGGGCCCCGCTGGCGCCCTTTCTCCGAGGGCCCTGCAGGCCTCATTGTGGCCGTCCTGGCGGCTCGTCGGGGGCCCTATCGGCTCCTGAAAGCAGTGGGCGGTGGAAGAGAAGCAGAGGAAGAAGAAGAGATGATGACCCCCCCTGTGCGTCTCTGAGGGGCATGACACAGAACCGAAAACCCAGCTAGGAGGCCTGTTTCGAGGAGTTCACCTGCACAGCTCCATTTAGAACTCGTCTGTCGCGGGAGCCTTTCGGGCTACGTCGATCCGACCACCATAGACGGTCCCACACGACTTGCCTCTGACAGACCCAGTGAAGGTACTGATCGAAACCGGGTTTCGACTTACCCAGAATCGCCTTTAGGCTGTAATCCAATCGTGGCCCTGCTTGCACATGGCCCGCGGCGAGGGACAGGAGGATAAACCGACGAGGGTGATGATAAGCGGAATGAAAAAGAGGAGCAGGCAGTAGAGGAGCTCGCTGAGAAAGTGAAGCACGTGGAGCACCCCTCCTTTCCCCCGAGGCTCCCAAACAAGTGCCCGACGGGAGCCCCCGCAGGGCCTCGAACGCCCAATGGCGACCCCCAAGAGTACGTTGCCTCCTCGCTGCCCTCCGAGGCTGAACCCTGGACGATCCCGAGGCGGGGGCTCCCTCTGCATGCCCTCCAGGACCGCGGGCACCTTCAGGCGCATGGCCTCGTTGCGAGGGTAGCCCATCTCGACGAGCTTTCCCAGCACGGCCTGGTAGTCGAAGGCGGTCGGCTGGGCGCCCTGCGGATCGCGGCTTGGCTCGTGGACACGCCCCCTGCTGAAGCCGCCGCAGGAGTGGAAGGTCCACACGTCGTGGTCGCCGCGGTGGAGGCAGCACACGACGGCAACCTCCTCGTTGAGGCCCGCGCCCTTGACGTCGCACGAGGCCATGACCCGCGAGCGGTCCGCGTCCACCACGTCGGCACGCAGGGCACCGTAGCTCTTCAGCCCGTGGCCGGCGGTGGCCACGAAGACGAGGTCGACGATGCGCTGAGGGACGAGGTCGATGCGGAGCTGCATCGCCTGCTTCTGCCTGCCCGCCCCGTCGGTGCCGCCCGGCTCTCCGGAGCCGTGCTGCACCGAGCCCAGGGTGCCGTCGGGGTAGCAGCCGCCCTTGGCCAGGAGCGGCCGCCGCACGCCGTAGTGCTCCCCGTGGACGCCCTGGCTGTCCACGATCTCCACCAGGCTCTCGCCATCGAACGCGATGCAGGCCAGGCCAAGCTTCTGGCCAGAGCCTGGGCCAGAGCCAGGGCCAGAGCCGCGGCGGGCGGTCATGGGGCTGGGGGCCGCCCAGGACACCTCCAGGTCCACCCGCCGGAGGACCCTGCCGCGCACCTGAGTCAGATAGTCCCCGAGCTTGCGCCCGTGTCGCAGTAGCGGCAGGCCCCCTTCCGGGCCGACGCGAGGGGTCGACCGTTCCGCCTCGAGCGGCATGTCATCCCAGCTCAGCCAGGGAACCGCGTGACGGCCCAGGTCGTCTGGGTCGAGGGCGCCCTCCTGGCTGCCGACCAACGCGGCCACAATATCCGCCGCCGTGTGCAAGGCGCCCACGTAGATGCCGACGTGGGTCTCGACAGCGTCGTCGCGCGATACGTCTGGCACAGGCTCCGCGGGCCAGTGGAGCACCTCGTCCTTGCCAGAGATGGCGCTGCGCAGCAGCGAGATCACCTCCCCGCAGATGACCCCGGGCAGCCCGCGCTCAGCGACCTCTGCGCCGGCCTCCTCCTTCTCCTTCTCCTCCTCCTCACTCCGCACTGTGACCAAGCACTCGACGATCTCGCGGGGCAGCACGTACGTTGTTGTGCTCCTGGGCTCGAACGAGACGTCCACCTCACCGAACACCACCGCCGATGGGATCATCTGAGCCCGATGGGGCACTGGCACCTCCTCGATCCACTTGGGGAAGGTGTTGCTCGTTCGCTGGTCCAGCAGCTCGATTTCCAGCTTCTTGCGATCCAGGTCCTGCAGCGCCGCCGACTTCCTCGACGCGGTCGTGAGGGCGTGCTTGTCCAGCTCCACCCCGGCGGCCTTCAAGCGCTTGACGCGACCAAGCTGGGCGTCGAGCGTGCGGAAGTCGTCGGTACCATCTAGCTGGCCATAGATCAGCGACTGCTCGACCTCACGGAGCTCCTGCAACATCGCGTCCGCGCGCGCCACCTCTCTAGACGGCAGCGCCGCCGGACTACGGGCATTGTACATTGCGACCGCGAGCGTCTGCAGATCCGTCGACTCCACGGCCTCCGCCAGCCCGGCCCGGAGTGAGGTGAGGCGCTCCCACAGGGCGCGAGCCTCAGAGATCAGCCGCAGGTCGGTCACCTCGGCGTCGCATGCGGCGGCGAGGGCCTTCAGCAGGGACTCGCACTTGCAGGCGGCCATTGCCCGATGCAGCTTCCTCTCCGCGGACGCGCCCTGCTCCAGCTGCCTCAGCGCGGCATCGAAGGGCCCCAGCAGCAGGTCGCAGAGCGCGATGCTGCGAGCCCGCGTCACGGCCGCGTGCAGATCCCCTGTTGGGGAAACCAAGCAGTACCAATACCGCTGCTCCCCAGGCCTCTCCTGGGGTGCACTCGGACCAGAATTTCCAGGCGAATCTGGCCCTGGCGTCGAAAGAATGGCACCGGCATCCGCATCTGTTCCTACGCGGACCCGTGCGGCGCAGCGCCATCGCCACGTCCATATCCCTCAGAGCCACGCCCCACTCATCGAGCAGCACCTGTTGGGCGCGAGTCCATGGAGGGCGAGAAATGGGGGGCAGCGAGGGCTGCAGAAAAGGGGCCCTTCAAGGCCCCTGACAGAATCCCTTGAGGACCCCAGAGGGGGGCACTTCAGGGCCCGAAAAGGGCGCCTCTCTCCCCCCCCACATGGATCGACCCCCATGACCCTGAGATCATACGTAGCGACAAAAATGCAGCATCGTGAAACATCGCGCCCACAGCCCTAGATCCCATCTTTCCGCGTCGTTTTTCGAGTCGGATCGGTCAGCGAGGGTCCCAAGGCCCGAAGCACCCTGGACCCCATCTTCCCGTGTCGTCGTTCGAGCCCGATAGATCTGTGAGGGTGTCCCAGGGCCCGAACACAGGCTGGAAAACGCCTCGTTCGAAACGAGCGAGACGCCAGGATCGCAAGGCAATGCGCGCACAACCTTTTGGTCGACCCTAAAGAGGGTCCAGCTGAAAGGGGGTGGTGCAACAGATTTTGGGTAATTGCATTGCAAATGTGTTGCGCCCGAGAATTAAATGTCATTGCATTGCAAAGTAATGTACTGCACGCGAAAATCCAGCAACACACATGCGCCCCGACATGTATTGCACGCTCCAACGCTATTGCACCCCCACAAGGATCTTTTGCACCGAGTCTATTGCACCGCCCCCTTGTCGCTGGGCCCCCTTCTGAATTCTGGGTCTACCAGAAGCCTGCCCCTCGATCAGCTCGCTGTCCCGGAGGCCATGCTCCTCGGCGGAGCGGAGCCCCCTGCGGAGGAGCTCGGGGTTGCCGCCCGCCATGGCGCCGTGGAGGGCCCGCAACACCTCGAGCCGCTCCCGCGGGGCGCGCAGGAGCTCCTCCGGGAGCCGCGCCGCGACGGCCTCGGACAGCGAGGAGCTGCGCTCCTGGATTTAGGTAGGGCATGTCCTCCTACAGGCGGATGTTGGAGGAGATATCTTTTAAATAAAGATTTTGATAAATTATCAACAACAAAGAAAACGCCCCCTGTCTATGTTTGACTATCTTTGAACACTCCTCCTGTAGAGGGGCACGCCCGACTTCCCGCTCCTGGATGCCCTCCGCCGCGGCCATGCGGGTGACGAGGCCGTTCAGGCGAGCCAGGAGCTGGATCGCCTCCACCTGCTCCTGCAGGAGAGTTAAAACGGGGGCGGCCAGGAGGGGAGAAGGAGGAGGAGGAGGAGGAGGAGGAGGAGGAGGAGGTGGAGGAGGAGGAGGAGGAGGAGGAGAGGAGGAGGAGGAGGAGAAGGAGGAGGAGGAGGAGGAGGGGGGAGGAGGAGGAGGAGGAGGAGGAGGAGGAGGAGAGGAGGAGGAGGAGGAGGAGGAGGAGGAGGAAGAGGAGGAGGAGGAGGAGGAGGAGGAGAAGGAGAAGGAGGAGGGTGTCCAAGAGGGGGGGCCGCGCCAATCATGGCCGGCGGCACGTGCGCAGCCTTGGGGGGGGGGGGGCAGGGACATGCTGAGACAAGACGACGCGGGGTGAAATGCTCGAAAATATAACAATAATCGTCCCCAGACAACTTTTTGTTGACTAGTTTTGAATATCCCTCCTGTAGGGGGACAGGCCCGACTCAAAATCAGGGGAGATGTCACGGCCCCTGGCATGATATCCACCCCCGGGTCGTCACCCCCGTCTCTGCCGCCCCCGAATGGTGGGCGTGTTCTCCACCGCCACCACCAGAAGTAGGAGGGGGGGACGGGGTCCTCCTCCTCCTCTTCTTCCTCCTCCTCCTTCTCATCCTCCAGCTCCTTCCCCCCTCCAACTGATGGTGGTGGTGGTGGTGGTGGTGGTGGTGGTGGTGGTGGTGGTGGTGGTGGTGGTGGTGGACAACTGGCCCATCACCGAAATTAACATGGTAGGAGCAGGTCCAGAGAGGAACGGGTCCTGGACCCTGGGGCCTCCCTCCAGGACGACGTCTTCCCCCTGAGCCGTTTTCTGGCAGTCTCGGGGCCCGTGAAGCCCGGGAGCCCGACATCTGCAACAAAAACTCAGGACCGTCTCCGTCAGGACCCGCTTCCCCCATGGAAGGGGGCCAAATGCGAACCCTACCCCTGCCCCCCACGATTTCTGAGGGGGAGGGTGGGGTTCACTTAGCTCGGGAGCTCCTGGACAGAGTGAACCCCACCCTCCTCCCCAGAAATCGTGGAAGGTAGGGGTAGGGTTCGCATATGGCCCCCTACATGGCGAAAGGGAGCGGGGCAGAAGAGGACCCGCCCTCGCAGCGGGCATCCCCCGAAGAGATAAGCCGATGAGAGAGGGAGCGACTCCCGAGGCGGGGACGTCCAAGCAGGGCGGGCAGGCAGGACACTGCCTGGCAGACGCCCGGGACTGCGGGCAGACGCCAGTTCCTGGGAGGGGTCGGGGAAGAGAACAACCTGGACGCGGGACGACACACAGTTCGTGAGTGGGCGCGTGATCCTCATCGGGAACCTGGGCCTCGTGCGCCGCGTCGATGGCGGCGCGGAGCTCGTTGGGGTGGCAGCTCTGCGTGGCCTCCCCCAGCCAGACCCTCGCCGCGTCCTGTGAGGCCTGGAGGGTCCGCAGGAGCTCGGATGCTGTGTCGGTCAGCTCCTGCTCCCTCAGGCCGCTCTGGGCCACCGCCTCAAGGCCCACGAGAAGCTCGCTGATCACGCGGCTCTGGATGGCCGCGCGGAGCATGCCCTCCGACTGCTGCAGAGACGCCAACTGCTCGCGCGCCGCGGCCTCCAGCGGCAGGTGCATGCCCTCACATGACTTGAGCGCGGCCAGCAAGGCCGGCACCCGCGCGGCGCTCATGGCCTCCTGTGACAGTCGCGCAACCGATCCTTACCCTCGTTGGCGCGGACTTGGCCCCATCGGCCGGTTTACCCACCTGGGTGGGGATATATGATCCTCAATCGGGGGTTCACCCCCCCAGATTGAATGGGCCCCAGGCTCCACAACCCACCTTCCCCCCACATGGGATGGGGGCGACGACGACGAAAACGACGACGACGACGACGACGACGACGACGACGACGACAACGACAACGACGACGACGACGACGACGACGGAGGCGGCGGCAGCGGCAACGACGACGACACCGCAGCACCAACCCACACCCACAGGGGGGGAGGGGTGGGGGCAGCAGCGCCCCCCTCCAACTGCCCCCCCCTGCCCGACAGCAGCGGAACATCTACCCTCCACCACGCCACGCCCAAAGGGCAACGACCACCGACGGGGGGGAGCGATCCCACTCGCAAGGCTTTCGCGACGCCGACGGGCGCACCCATCAGCAACTGAGGGGGGTGAAAGCAGGATGCATCCGTTGATCCAGTATGCATGTTCCTTAGGATTTCGCAGGGCTTATCCTCACGTGGGATGAGGGGTACCGTTCGGGGGGACTGGCTGAAGGAGGGAATATCGACCTGGAATCGGCAGTGTAACCTCTCGGTGTCCAAGCACAAGGGACATCCAGAGAAAATGCGGGACTAATGTTTAAACAGGCTCGTGTACAGGTTCGCAGGACTCGCTGGAATTACGGGAAATGGCATAGTCAGGAAAGGTGCGTGCGCAAAATATCGCCAGGTTCGTGGGCGGGAAATGGGTGCGAATGGCGAAGTGCGATATGCGGCGTGGAGACCACGACGGGCACGTAGAACAAAAAGGCACGTCGAGTTTTGAGCAAAAAGGTACCAGCTGACAATCCAGAAATCCAGGTTATGGGGTGCGATACACAGAAAGCCAATCTCAAATCAATATCGATCATAAAGTGCATTGCGTATACGCATACCTCTTGAACACTTACTTTGCCATGCGGAATGGAACGTCAAATCGAAAAAAACAGATGGCCCATCGAATGGTGGACGCGTTCGATTTCATTCGCCAGAGGGAGCGAGGTTCACCGCCGCTGGCCCAGAACAGAAAGTCGAGGGGGGCGGTCAAAAAAGAGCCCCCCCCCAACAAGAAACAAATCAGAAAAGGGGGTTCAGGAACCAGGGCCCCCGCCAAATCCCCCCCTCCCCAGGAAGAACCTAAGGGGTATAGAAATCTCCCTTTTAGAACCTACTCACGAAGTTCAAGACCCCCCCTACCCCCCCGGAAAATGATTGAGGGGTCCAGGAGGCCTGCTCTACTTACTCTACTCTATTCTCTTCTACTCTATCCTGCCCTGCTCTTCTCTATCCTACCGTACCCTGACAGATTTCACTGTACTCTTCCTTGCTCCTGCTCGAGACTACCGCACTCCTCCTCCACTCTGCTCTTCTCGACTTATCTTTTCTCTTAAGTCTGAAACCTATACACAAACCACTATGGGGACAACTTTAAATAGGTATTCCCAACACTGAAATGCGTATGTAGAAAACAAAATGAAAGCTGAGCAAACCGGACCGCCGGTGACGTCCGCACGACCGCCCTGGCGCTCCGCGTGCAGGGGCGGCATCCTGCGCACCCCCTGTTGGCGTCAGGCCACACCTGTCGCGCCCTGCGAACTTGGCATGGCCAGAGACTGGGACCACCTCCTGCGCACCCTCCCTGGGTCGCGAACGTGCTATACCTGACACGCCCTGCGACCTGGACTGGATCGAGACCGCGCTCAAGGACCACTCCATGCACACCCTCCCTAACCTGTACAGGGAAAACGCCGAGCCAGCCTCGCCCTGCAACCCTGGCGTGGACGGAGACCGCACTCGGGGACCATCACTTGCGCACCCCTTCTGGTGCCGAGAGGGCCGCAGAGGGGGCTCAAAGATGGCCTCAAGTGTTTTTAGATGGCCTCTAAAATGGCGCAAGCTGATCCAAGCTGGCCCAATATGGCCTCCAAGATGCCTCCAAGTGGCACCATGCTGGCCCCAAGACGGGTCAAAGTGGCGCTGGGCCCATCAAGCACCAAAGACTACCGAGAGCGAGAACTGGACGCCACCGCGCGCACGCAAGCGCAGTCGCGCGCGCACGTACGTACAGTATCCCACTAAGACATGTGTGTATGTTTTTTACCATACTAAAAAACACGCATCGTTCGGCCTCTTTGGTGTATTTTCCAGGGGGGACATTTCAATAATTATTCGGCGGCGAATCAATGACAGTCGGGATCCCAGGGGGGGAAGGGGTCATCACGTTTTCACAAGTTTTGGACATTACTCGACTCGACATTACCCGATTCTGATCTACACCTCCCAGCTCGACGTTGCCATACGGCACCCTACCAGATTTCCACCCTAGTCTACTCGAGTTGACTCTGAGCTACGCAGCTCGACTTGAAGTGTAAAGAATGCCCGCGGGAGGCCCCCAAGACGACCCGAGTTGCCGAACGATCGCTCCACGATGCTCAAGATGGCCCCCAGACGGTCCAAGAAGCTCCCTAGACGCCCCAGGCCTCCCGAGAGGCAACAAAATGGGATTTCGAAAAATTTGGGAGTTCTCGACTTTTCCGGTTCCCCGACGAAGGGCGCCCAAGATGGCCGCAAGACGGCCCAAGGGGCTCCCGACAGGGCCCCAACGCGGCCCAGGAAGGCACCACGACGGCTTTAGAGGCCTCCAGTACGGCCCAAGAGGCCTCTGAGATGCCTCTAAGAGGGGACCCCAACGGGGGAACCGAACGGACCTCTCGAGCCCTCGACCCTGACAGCCCTCCAGGAGACCGGAGAGGCCCCGAAGAGGCCCCCAGAGGCCCCCAAGAGGCCCCCAGGAAGCTCCAAGAGGCGCCCACGAGGCTCCCAGAGGCCCCCAAGAGGCCCCAAGCATGCTCCCAAGAGCCCACCTAGAGAGCGCTCCGAAGAGACCCCAAGACGCATCCGTGAGGACACTGACCCACAATACAAGCA